TTTAATAGCAAAAAGTCAAAAATAATGTTTTTTTCTCAAAATTGTTGGTCTTTTTTTATACCGCAGCAAAAAAAAAATAAAAATGCACAGGAGATCAAATACCACTAAAAGAAAGCTCAATTTGTGGGAAAAAAAGGACGTAAATTTCATTTGGGTGCAGCATTGCATGACCGCGCAATTGTCAGTTAAAGTAATGCAGCGCCGTAACTCAAAAAATGGCCTGGTCAGAAAAGGGAGGAAAATCCTCAGGAGGGCAAGTAGTTAATAAAACTTTTTTTACTTTGATAAATCAGTGCACTGTGGTGCATATAAAGCCCATGGTTCATAGTTCAGAAGTCAATTATTTAGATAACCATCAGGAAACACACTTTGGGAAATGCCTTGCAGCCATCACTGGATTTCATGTATGTAAACAGAAAATGGCTTCAAAGGGATTATTGGAGTCAGCAGCACTGAGATGTAACAAAGAATTAAGAAAGAATAAAACAAAACCTTTATTAAAAAAAAAAACATTCTGAAGCTTTTATGTTACACAGTTCTTTATGCAACTAAAAGTCTTTACATTAGGGTTTACATGCACTTTAGTATAACATATATTCAGGTAGTCTGACTCTATATGTGGTGCACCATCAGACATGCCCTTGATAAGCACTCTTTAAAACATTCAGCAAGAGCCAGCTATACCCAGAAACCACTAGGTATGGCAATAGGGTAGGTATGGAAATAAAGCAGGACCACCTATCCCCTCTTTCCTCTATTGATGGAATTTGGTGACTACACAACCCATAGGTGAGCTGTAGAGTTCACATGGGATGCAGGCTCAGTACAATAGAGCAGCCAAACTTGGCTGTCGATAGATTAAACATCTTCTAGAAATATTTCAAGGTGTTCTAAGAACAGTGACACCTCATAACAACTACAAGATAGTTGCAACCACTCAGATACCAGCTATTACCAGTTTAGCATGGCCAGAATAAAGAAAGCCAACCAGGGACTGCCTTCATTAGGTTACTGCAGACCATGACTCCTTGAACCTTTATAATAATTGAAATTCAAGTTTGGATGTTTTCTTAGTGCTTGGTGGACTAAAGTATGGACCTTTGAGCATAACAGTCCTCTAAGAAACTATTATAGTCATTTACCCTTAAGAGAAATAACAAGGCATTGCAGGTAAAAATCTGATAAACAGGTAAACGCCTGAATTTCAAATGCTAAAGAAGGGGAGGAGTAGAGTCACCAAAAGATGGTTGGATTGCTAAATACCTAATTCAAAGTAGACTTAATATAATTAGTCAATCCATAACTTTTGTCTTTAAATTACCATCCAGAAAATCAATCAAAATTGCAACAAAGGGCATTAAAATGTTGGTACTAATTGGTACAAGGAGTCTATTTTTATATCTTCCTGCTGTATCTAATAGTTGTCTTCCAAATCTATCTTACATAACTAAGATTTTATGCATCTTAGTGAAATAAGTCAGTTTTTAGCCAGGCAGTTGTTTTGTATGCTGTAACCACCAGTATCATTATACCTTAGTCTTCTATTGAGGCTTGAAGCTGAAAAATTTAATCAATAGTGATGGGCTTGATGTTCTAGTTGAACGTAAGCTCAACTCGAACAGCAGTTATTCATGTGTTTGACAAACACACCAACGGTAAGGGCGTTCGGCAGGCTGTTCGCTCGCCGTGCCCTACAATGCAATGTGCTTTTACAATGCATTGTGATTGGCCAAAGCACAGGTCAGGTTCAATGCTTTAGCTAATCACAGAGCAATTGGGCAGAGCAAGCAGTGACATCACCATTAGCTCCACCCCATTTTTAACATCGCCAGGTGCGGACTGGTTCAGGGGCATTGGTTTTTTTTTTTTATTTCGGCGAGTTGGCGGCGTCATGGTGACGCCGTGATTGATGATGGATTACATCGATGGAACCATTTTTTTGCTTTTTTTTTTTTGAAAAAGGACTGTCAAAAACGTTTGTTTTGTTTTTTGTTTAATAAAGGATTTTATAAAAAGGCTGGTCTCTTATTTGTAACTACATTTAACCCTTTAATGAATGGGTAGGGGTACAAGTACCCCTTACTCATTCACAAGGGGGGGCAGCATCAGAGTGCCCCTTATTTAAAGGGGTACCTTGATGCTAATGAGACCCCCATATCCACATGACCAGGGTTGTGGGGAAGAGGCCCTCCTCACCACCAACCCATGCCAATAGCACATGGCCTGGTAAGCCACAGGGAGGGGTAGGGGGCACTCGTCCCCCCCTTTCCTGCCATGCCAGGCCTGTGCTCGGATCAAGGGTCTGGTACAAATTTAGGGTCGACCTCATACTTGTTCCCTCCAGTTTTTGAGTGTGAGGTTCCCCCTAAAAGTCCTACCAGCCCTCAAGAGCCTGGTAAGGCTTTTGGAGGGAACCCCACACACTTTTAAAAAAAAAAATTCTGTGGGATATCTTCTAAACTCCCTACCATATCTAAAGGGTCAGGTATGAATTAGGGGGGAGCTCACGTTTTTAAATGAAAATTTTATTTTTTTAAAAGCAGCTGCAGCAGGTTCTTGGATGAATTGTACTGATATGCAGCTTTGCAGGTAGTTTAACCCCCAGGCATTATATTTAAATATAATATTTTTTCTTTTTTCATTTTTTTACTTTACTTTTTTACTTTAAGCAACCGTCCGTACCTGGCAATATTAATAGTATTGTCAATATTATTTTCCTGTTATAGTTATTTATTATTATTATTAATATTAATAATAATTACTGTTATAATATTGAAGACTTTCCATATCAATATAAAACCAGTACAACTCCAAGATTCATTTGCAAATCTGCCCTGTCTCTCTATCTTGTCATATGTGCAGGCTTATTTTCTTCTGGGATGAACTGATTCAAAATCATACAAGGAGTCTACACATTTTCTGAAGATAGTTTAGGATTTGCTTCATAGAACTATCTGTGTAATGTATCTTGCAAACTAATGGATTAAAATGGCCCCAGTGGATCTCAGCTACTTAATAGGAATGTTCAATGTGCTTTTAGGTAAACACTACATTTTTTTGTCTGTGTGTGAAATGGCTATAAAGCAATTTTCCTGGGAGCCTGTAAGAATAGAAGTTCATCTTTTTTATTTTTTTTTTAAACCCAGGAGGCTGGTGAGCGCTTGCAATTTAATCAGGAATTCACATTTCTGTCCAGCAAAGAATCAACAAACTGATGAATTCTGCTAGTTTGCTTGTGATCACAAATTTGTTTGGAGAGGTCGGAATAATCCCAGCTGTGTTTCCCTGATCAATTCAGTGTATAAATTGCGTTACTTCTATTTAAAAAGGATTTCCTATTGAAAACAACGGGGGGCCACTGCATGTTTAAAAAGAAATGTGTCACATTTAAAGGGAACCTACCCTGGCCTAATAATTAAAAGAGATGCACCTTGCGTTTTCTTTAACTTGATGCACATGTCCCTGTAAGCCCCATGGATCCTAGACCCAGATTGTACAAGGACCTTGATGCTTCCCCAGGCATGTGTTCAGTCCAGCCAATCTTGTAATGCAGGTACTCCCTCCATACAACATAATATGTTTGCTGATTCTTGCATTTAAACAGCATAATAATAATAATAATAATAATGTCATAATACAGCTAGAACACCACTCCCCCAGCCTGCTGATTGGACAATAATGGAGCATCAGCAAGCTGTTAAAGGATATGTAAACCTAACATTTCATATTCCTGATATGCACCTGCTGTACCATGTACTTGTATGCGAAAGTATCTTTGTATTGCATCCTTTGTGTGAAATCTCTGGTGTTCCTGTCAGTCCCTCTGCTTTCCTATTAAAAACTGACCACGCTAGGCAGGAGAGCACACCATGGTCAGTTCTTTGGCTGTGCTGAGAACTCAATCTGCTCTCCTCCAATGATAAGGCTTGTCCTGACACCCCCCCCCCCATTAGCCATAAACTAGGAAGTTCAGTGTGCTGCAGCTTATGCAGTTGAGGACAGAGGAAATATGATCACGATAAAAAGAAAAAAGGGTATTTATGATTTTTTTCATATCTCTAAAAATACTTTCTCTAGCCTTTCATTTCTATTTTAAACTGAATAGGTTGTTTTACAAGGTTGAGGGTTTACTATCCCTTTAAGGACATCACACGCTGTCTTTTTTTCTATCAGTAAGCACTTAGTGTTTGGATGACACCATTCTGTCCTTAAACATCATTAAGGAACTTTTTGAAGTACATCTAGGACAGTGGTCTCCAAACTTTGGGGATGGATGCGACCGTTTATGTAGTTGCATAGGTAATCTGGTAGAAAAAAAAGACACTAGTACATCCAGTTCAACCAAAACAGAAATAAAAAAACATACAAAAATGGAAAATCTCCATATGCACTATCCCATACCCATGGTTGATCTAGAGGAAGACAAAAAATCCCAATCAAGAATGGTCCAATTTGTTCCTGCAGGGGAAAAAACATTCCTTCCTGATCCTCCAAGAGGCAATCGGATATTCCCTGGGTCAATTATACCTTTAAATATTAGTATATTATATGCATTTAGGAAGGAATCCAGGTCTTTTTTTTAAAACAATCTATTGAGTTGATAAGAGCCAGCTCTCGAGGGAGTCTATTTCAGTTTCACAGCTCAAACTGAGAAGAAGCCTTTCCGTATTTGAAGTTTAAATCTTTTTTCTTCCATACGTAAAGATTGCCCCCTTGTCCTCTGTTATGACCTCTAGGTGAATAACTCTACACCGAGTTCACTATATGGACCACTTATGCAGGGGCGGACTGACAACTCATGGGGCCCCCGGGCAATAGGGGATCATGGGGCCGCTGTGTCCTTGCCCAAACTCAAAAAAGCCTATGAAAAAGGTACCAGGGGCATCTCATGGGGCCCCCTACTGACCCCAGGCCCTCGGGCAGTGCCCGAGTTTACAAATGGTCAGTCCGCCCCTGCACTTATGTATTTATACATGTTGATCATATTCCCCACTCAACATCCTCTTCTAAAGAGAGAATAAATTCAGTTCCTCTAATGTTTCCTCATAGCTGAGCTCCTCCATGCCTCGTATCAGTTTGGTTGCCCTTCTCCAGTTCCCTGATATCCTTTGCCTGCCTTTATTTGACCATTGGGGCACTATTCTTCCCATTGATACGGGACACTATTCTGCCAACTGACATTGGGGTATCATTTCTCCCACTAGAAGCCAACAATAGAGCACTATTCCTCCCAATGTGGCAATGTATACTTTCTCTAATACCAGACAAATTCTACTCCAGCAAGCCAAAGACCAGCCCACCTAAATTCTGAAGGACAATGAACTGGCCCTTTGTTAAGAACATTTGGAGACCCCTGTAATTTTGCTTAACCCCCTCACACCAAAGGGTAAAACAAATCTAAATGCCTAAGCACAATTCTGCAACGTTGACAGAACGTGTTAGTAAAACCGCACATATCACCACAACTACTTTGTACATCCAGGTGGATTATACCTTGTTTTTTTCAGGACAAATTGGGCTTTCATTTGGTGGTAAATGGTAATGGATAGCTCCTAATTTTTTCTTATTATCAAAGGAAAACTGGCCCAAAATAGTAAAAAAAAATATTTTTTTTTATTTAGCTGTGTGTTTCTTGTTACGACCATAACCTACCACCAAAGAACAACCCAAAATAAATTCTCCAGCTCTTGACTATCGCAGCGATACCATATATGTGTATGTTATTTGTTGTTTGTACCCGTAGTACAGCCCAGAAACAATAGTACGCATTTTGTTTTTGTCTTTTTTTTTTGTTACCTAAAACACACTGACACTGACATTAACGATAACTGACACTGATACCAATTTTTTTTTTAAAATCCTGACATTTGACCCTGACCTTTGACCTTAAGCTTTGACCCTGACCTGGACTCAAACACTAACCCTGGCACTGAACTAGATCAAACCTTGATCTAGGTATTTTACTTTATTTTTTATTTTATTTTTTTAAATATTTATTTATCTTTTTTTTTTTTTTGCAAACATTTTTTTATCTCTCTATGTCAGGAGTTAGAGAGATACAATGTATCTCTCTTTTCCATTCATAGAGAGAGAAAAAAAAACAAGGGGGCCGGGCTGCACAGTGACTGATCACCGTGATAGCCAATCAGAGGCTATCACAGCGATCACGTGACCCGGAATCGGGAGTATTGGGTCCCGATCGTTAGAACGGGACCCGGGGCTCTCAGTGACACCACGGCCGTGGGCTCTCAGTGACACCGCAGTCTCTGTCCTGGGAGCGTGCCGTGCAGTGCGCTCCCAGCACAAAAACAGGTACGCAAATATGCGGCCCCATGGAAAAAAGCCCAGTTCCGTGAGGCCACATATTTATGTGCCGTCAGCGTCAAGGAGTTAAAGAAATATTCCCAAGATTAGAATAGTGCTGGTGTTCAGAAAAGGAATATGGTGCTAACTGCATAAAACAATGTGTGTGGAAAACCCTCAGTGCAATGGACCTCCTACAAAACACATATTGCAGCTAGCATGTAATGTGTTCCCACATGTAAACCATAAATCAATAAAAAATGCAATGCAGTACTATAAAATCAAATACGGTGCTAATAATATATTGAAAACAAAAATTGTGCTTCATGACAATATGCGCTACATCAAATGTATATCAACACAAACATATAAATACCCATAAAACTGCATATATTTGGAACACGATGCACAGGAGATATACTGCACTTGATCTTCTGTATGGTAATATTCAGAGATTTTTACCCTTATTTAGTCCCATTCAGGTTTGTTTGTTGTTTGATATTAATGTCTCATATTTATACACTTTTAGAATCACTTACTACTGTGGATACATTTCCATCTGGGGTGGTTACCCAGGAAGGCCATATATCCATCCTTTAATGATGGTCAAGCTTATGAGAAGGTAATGGAATAACATATATACCTGATATGGGGTTACTTTGTTATTGCATATGGTTTGTGCATATATCCTATTTCTTGTTCCCTCTACTATGATCCTTTCTTTTCTGGTTTTTCCATTTTTAGGAAGTCATTCTATCCACTGTGGTGGTTACCAAAAACATTTTTTTGAAGAATGATCTCCCTATGCAGATATCGTAGGAAAATATGAAAATTCTTTTGATCAAGTAGTTAGGAACTTCATTGCCTTATGTGGATTCCTGATTGCCGAATAACTATTAGATCTGGAGACGCCGAATGTTTTTAACTTAGTGATTTTATAATGACCTGTTTACCATGTCTCTGTCTAACCTCCTTATGATCTATGTGATCGAATAAAACTTTTTTGTAATGATTAATTATATTACTCCGCTTGGATTTTCTAATAACCACTTTGTGTGAGCAATATTGCACTTGTCATACTGCTATTTTTTATGATATACTGCACAAGCACATGTGAAGATATTGGAGTTTTAAAGGGACAGTTCACTATTTAGAACGGTTCATTTGGTATTTGAATACACCATTCATTTTAGCACTGGTATATGCAGTTTTATGGGTATTTTTATATGTTTTTGTTGATATACATTTGATGTAGCCCATATTGTCACAATTTTTGTTTTCATTATATTATTAGCACTGTATTTGAGTTTATAGTACTGCACTGCATTTTTTTTATTGATTTATGCATATAAAAATGGTTGAATATGATAAGAAAAGCCCTGTATGCGTTATCAGTGTAGTCACAATGGATACTTGTGGGAAACTGAATCCCCATTTTTAAGGGGTTACAATATTGTAGCCTTATGTCCCAGTGATAGGTGTGTCTGCTGTTTTTTTTTTACTGTATTCTCTCCCTGTCGGACATGAAAAGGCAGCCCAGTGTCAGGTTATAAGGCTCCCAGGGAGGATGAGCTTTCTCCTGCCTGATCTAAGGGCTGATAACTAACATTGTTGTCTGGACTTGCACAGGATAGCAAAAATCCTGAACATGATAAGAAAAGCCCTGTATGCGTTATCAGTGTAGTCACAATGGATACTTGTGGGAAACTGAATCCCCATTTTTAAGGGGTTACAATATTGTAGCCTTACGTCCCAGTGATAGGTGTGTCTGCTGTTTTTTTACTGTATTCTCTCCCTGTCAGACATGAAAAGGCAGCCCAGTGTCAGGTTATAAGGCTCCCAGGGAGGATGAGCTTTCTCCTGCCTGATAACTAACATTGTTGTCTGGACTTGCACAGGATAGCAAAAATCTGTGTTGACAGGCTTTGGGCCTTTGGGAAAATGCAAACTGCTTTAGATATCAGTTTGAGCCGCTTCATAATTTATTAAAAAAATGTTGCCAGGTTCGTTTGACCTACAGCTGACCACCTTATGACCTGCATTTGAACTGCCTGCAGCTGATTTTGCGTTCCCATAGACCCATATGGAGAGAGATATAGTTCGACACAGGATCTAAAATGGTTTAGATGTTTGGGCACACTATGTACATTTAAGGAGAGAAGGGTTAAACATAAGCTCAGCTCTGTTTCTTGCCCCACTTCCCAGCTGTAAAGTGAAAGTGACTGTGATCACTTTTAAGATGTGGATGGTGCGGTCACCCTCCCATATGATTCCTGGGTTCTGACGCTCTTACCAGGAGTCTGGAACCACATTAATTGGGCCTTTAACATGGAGTTTGGCAGGAGACCAAAGAACATCCAGTCTTCAATCTCCTCTGGAATGAAACTGGAAGCGACAATGATTTTGTCATTTCTACCTTCAGAACCTTCACTATCTAGCTGTATCAGCAAAAGAAGCATGAAACTACATGGTTACATGTTGCGGAGGGTAGGGGAGACATTGTGGTCTATTAGATCACCAATGTCTCCATAAAGAATAGCTGTCACCTGCCCAATGCTATCACATGGGGGGGATTGTTAATACCTTGTGATATCAATAAAGTTAAATAAATAAAAAAGTATTAAAGTATTAAAAAACAAACAAATTAAACATAACTCCCCTACATGCACACACCTGCAAATGCAAACATGGCCCAGAGTGTGCACGCTGCCTCATCTTTTATATTGGACCAAAACATTGGATATTATATTGTGTGTGTTTGCAATAAAATTCAAGTTATTATATTATGTAAGAGTTTTTATTTATATTTTTGCTGTGAGTTTAGCTTCTCTGCACTGGAGATCAGGGACCTTGCCATGCTGTCTGGCAGGAATGCCTGGATCATAGGACTGGCTGAGCACAATAGCAATTTTTTTGTGTGTTTCAGCTGTGCATTTAGCTGTTTGCTAAAGTTTATGTATAAAGCTCCTCTCTAGGCTGCTGCAAAAACACACACCTCACCTTTCACCTTTAACCTTTTGCCACCTACCTAACATATTTATTTCAAAGCTTACCTACTGCACAGTTCTCAGTCTGTACTGATGATCTGGAACCAGCAAGACTGGATCTCGATCATGTGACAACTCTGACATTCAAATGAAGTGGTCATAAAACTAGGCAGACATTCCAGCCATGCAGGCCCAGTTAAAGGGATGACAGAATGTATAAGAAGGGGCTAACTGTACAAAATAATGCCCCTTTTACTTATGTAAATCCATAGTCACATGATATTCAGGTCCCAAACCTGCCCTAAACAGATGGAGGGTCTGTGTATCATGGGCACTTCCTATTGGCTGTTCATCAGCAGGGTCCTTTCAGGACCAGGGGCGGACTGATGACTCATGGGGCCCCCGGGCAATAGGGGATCATGGGACCCCTGTCTCCTTGCCCAAACTCAAAATAGCCTATGAAAAAGGTACTAGGGGCATCTTATGGGGCCCCCTACTGACCCCGGGCCCTCAGGCAGTGCCCGAGTTTCCAAATGGTCAGTCCGCCCCTGTTCAGGACCCAGAAAACAGAATGCAATGCTGAGTGCAAGAGGACCGCCTGACATGGTCACATCTGAAGCACTGGATAACCAGCCCCTTGATCCTGAAAGGGAAGAGGGGATTTCATGGTAAAAATCTTTTACTAAAGGCATTTAAAAAAATGCTTAATGGGTGAAGAGGGGGCAGAAGGATAGGATAGGGAGAAGATTAAATTTGGCCTGG